GGTAAATTTTTTTGATTCGGTTAAAAACATTTTTGGTTGTCAGTAGCAAAAAAATAATGAAATAATTTACTCTTTTTATCTTCTTAACTTCTTCACCTTGAAGCGAAAAGTTTAATTTCTAAAATGGGCATTTCCATCCTTTTCCAGTTACCTGAAAGGTGTGACACCAAAATCTAATCAAACGCCCCCAATCATTGCCGCTGAAATCCGTCCCTGATGATATTCCCGCGAAGGTTTCAAGATTTCTTGTTGGTACTAAATCGAAAAAAGGCCTCTCCCAGTGGCAGCTTTTTTAATCAATTTGGGGGCACTACTTTTCCAAGTCCCACTGATACTCAATTTGGCCCGGGAGGAGGGCAGTTCTTGTAATCGTAGATGTTTCTGTAACGGGCTAGAGCAAATTTGCTTTTTGAAAATTTTATAGCGCTGCCTGAAGAAAGTTGACATTGTAAAACCTATGAATTGAACAATTACTGTTTACATCGACTTTAAAACAATAATAATATCATCAAAACAGATTTTTTTTAATACATGATTTATCACTGGCTAAAATCATGTACATAATTCAGCAGTAAGCCTCAAGTGGGGCTTAACAATATGGTAACTGATTTGAACTGAAATTTTCTGTAACTCTTAATGAATTTTAATAGTAAATTTAACAGAAAACCCTCACGAAAAGCACTTTTTAGTCATTCAAGTTTTCCTCTTTCAGAATCTTATTATTATCAAAAACCGAAAAGGGATATTCTCTATACGTTTCTGCATGTGCCTAAGTCAAACTACAAAAAAAAGATAAAAAATAAGAAGTGCTACTTGCATGGAAAAGTTTGACCTATATCAGGTTGTTGCAATCATTTCTTGCTAGTAAACATTAATTTGCAATGAAATTCGATGGTTTTTCGATTTCAGATGCCCCATGCAGAAACGCATAACACTGAAATTCTCTATGCGTTTCTGCATGGGCCTAAGGCAAACTACAAAAAATAATAAAAAATTCAAAATGCTACTTGCATGGAAAAGTTTGACCTATATCAGATTGTTGCAATCATTTCTTGTTAGTAAACAGTCATTTGCAATGAAATTCGATGGTGTTTTGATTTTAGATGTCCCATGCAGAAATGCATAACACTGAAATTCTCTATGCGTTTCTGCATGGGCCTAAGGCAAGCTACAAAAAATGATAAAAAATTCAAAAATGCTACTTGCATGGAAAAGTTTGACCTATATCAGATTTTTGCAATCATTTCTTGTTAGTAAACAGTCATTTGCGATGAAATTCGATGGTGTTTTGATTTAAGATGCCCCATGCAGAAACGCATAACATTGAAATTCTCTATGCGTTTCTGCATGGGAATAAGGCAAACTACAAAAAATTATAAAAAATTCAAAAATGCTACTTGCATGGAAAAGTTTGACCTATATCAGGTTGTTGCAATCATTTCTTGCTAGTAAACATTAATTTGCGATGAAAATTCGATGGTGTTTGGATCTTAAATGCCCCATGCAGAAACGCATAACACTGAAATTCTCTATGCGTTTCTGCATGGGCCTAAGGCAAACTACAAAAAATAATAAAAAATTCAAAAATGCTACTTGCATGGAAAAGTTTGACCTATATCAGATTTTTGCAATCATTTCTTGTTAGTAAACAGTCATTTGCGATGAAAATCTATGGTGTTTTGATTTTAGATGCCCCATGCAGAAACGCATAACACTGAAATTCTCTATGGGTTTCTGCATGGGCTACACGGATGGTAGTTGTTCATCTTATCAATAGCATGATTGTAATTTCGTTTTCTGAGTTTATCAAGTCAAGAGGTTTATTTATTTGAGTATTTGATATTTTGTTAATTTCTAGAACTTTGATTTCGTTTTGTATTGTTTATATTGGATGTGCGCGTTGTGTACCCCACAGCTAGGCCCTCCATGTCCGCCATTACACTTTAATATTTGAAACGCATATGTGTCTCAGCCCATGCAGAAACGCATGCCCATGCAGAAACGCATATGACACCGGCGATTTGGCCATGGATGCTCAGTAATTTTCCCTTACTGGTAGGAACTTTTTTGTGACTTCTTCACTGTCTTAAACATTTCAACAATGAACGGCAAAGTCGATAAACCTGTCGACAATTTTGGCCATCAGTTAATGACATAAATTCTACAATGAACTAATTACCAAAGAAGAGAGAAAAAGAAAACAGGAATGACACTTATTTTACCCTGCGTAACGCCCTCCTTGCCTGTTGCCGCAACAACCAAGGGGAAAAGGGAGCAGGCTGCAATAGTATCTTCAGTGCCATAGGAAGGAGAGAACTATATAGGAATAGCATGCACATTTCATTTGCATTCCCTTTTCATTCTTGACGAATTGTGTCAGTGAGATTCTCATCGATCTTCAGGCCATTTAAATGAATATTCAAAGTACCTGAGCACAAAAGAAATTTGTACAATTGTAGTTATTTTAAGAGAAATGTGGACTGCATTTTCTCTCAGTGCAATTTAGAGATTTCTTTTGTCGATAACACAAACATCAATGCGGACAAGGAAAGATTTTAACAGTGGCTTGTAAAGGTAAGTTCATATTTGTTAATTACATGGACAAACCAACTTTTAAGGTTTGAAAACTGTAATTTTTCCCTCCCCCCTATTTATCCAGTTTCAAGCCTTCGTAACTAACGATTGAGCCTAGCTAGGCTTTTCCGAAAAACTTTTGCTGAGTACAACGGCATTTTTTTTCGAAAATTCATCAAAGATTCAATTTTTAAAAGAAAATCTAGGTTATCTCTCAGTACATTTCAATCCATTATTTTTAGCGGGTGGTGGTAAAAACGTCCAAAATTGGCCTAAATTTAGCTGTGAGGCACTTTTGTTGTCATATTTTTGAATTCTAATTGGCTAATAGGGTATGCAGAATTTTGGTCGCTAAACCAATCAAAGATTTGGAACCTATGCTTATAGGAGTAGGATTTCTTTATTGGAAACGAAGGATTTTTTAATTCATGAGATGTTGAAAATAGTTTAACCTTTACACATTTAACAAACTATTAGCTTTTTTATAATGTCAATTTCATTTTGGGACTTTTTGGGCCTCATTTTGGGATTTTCAGTCTGTATTCTTTTTGCATTCTTTATTTACTGAGGTACAATAAACTTAGGAAAATTCTTGCGAAAAATTGTGTTCTGTTTTCCTGATTTTCATGCTAATGTATATTCTTTTTGTAATTTTTGATAAGTAAATATATATTTGGCAAATAAATTGCTAAGTGACAATTTCCTGAAGCTATGGAAACTAGCTAAGAAACCAAATAAAAGCATTGTTTGGGTGTGGCAAGTTCAGTGGTCTACCTCAAAGTTGCTGACAATCTGCAAAAAGTCTTATGCACTTAATTATTAAACAAACAGGGCCCTGGCTGAAAGGTCTCACCTTACAAACCTACAAAATATATTCATTAATAGCAATATTATCGAATTCAAAACTATACCCCCTAAAGTGTTTTTAATAATTTAGGCCAATCTGTGCAAATTTACAATTACAAATTTACAGATGAATTATTTTGTTACTCTCACATCACGAAAGGTATTAAAGAGTTTATGTCTGTATTGTGAATCGTGTCTTGAATTTAGGGGTGATTGATGATAAAATGAAATTAAATGAAAATGAAAATTGAATGGTACCTTTACCTCTCCATTTTTAGAAACTCCAAAATATATTTTTATTAACCAAAATTAAGAAAAACAAGATTATCAAACCGCCTCTAATATATTATTTTAAACTTTAGAAAGCCCTTAAGACTGGCATTTTAGTATCTTTAGTTTTAAAATTCTTGAAAATTCTCATACTACAATAATTGTATCCTATATTCAAATTAAATTACATGTTGCTCATGCATCATGCTCAATGTCAGTCATATTGATTTCAGCAGTTACCTACCATACCTTCTTTTCTTTGGGTCAATTTGGTAACTTTGTACTCCCCAGCCTTGAGCAATGCCACGTTGCCCTCGGTGAAACTTTGATCGGCAAAGAGCAAGAGAGAGGCAAAAACAATATTATGGAACTTCAAATTGCACAAAATGAGCTTACAGATCAACAGGGCAACAATGAAGCTGAACTTGACCATTTTTTCATTTATTCTTACACACCTTTCTTGTTCAGTTGCTTTCCCCTACACCTGTCCCAGCCGTAGCCATTACTGGCCACAACCACTGTCAATGTTGCGTAACTATCATAATTTTCTAGCTGATACTATGTTCTGCCATTTGGTGTCTCATCTATGACCTTTATACACATGTAGGCCTCCTTCTGTATCATCAGCACAGGCCTCCATTAGGCCTCCTCCCCTTTACCGTTACCCTACCCATTGTGTTTCCTTCATTTTTCGCACTCTTCTCTCTTTATCCAAACTTCATAATGTCCACTACCTCCTATAGACAGGGAATTTTGTAGAAAAAACTGGCAAATTGACTAAACTCAAATTTTATTTCACATTCTTACTAAATCGACTATGGAGATTCCAAATCCAAGATAGGCCAAAAAAATTATAACCGTAAGTTACTGTTTTACTGGAGTCAGCGAACTAATTCCAAAAATATTTTTCACAAATTATTTTCATCTTTTGCAGAGCACCGAACACCCTCCGCTAAAAAACTGCACAATCTGCAGTGCTCTAGCGATAAAATCGAAAAAAATCCGTAACCAATGAGGACCAGGCCATGGGAAATAATGGTGATCAGCTTAAAGCAGACGATGATGAGTAGAGCTACATTTTCTTTGGGAGTTCCAGCAAAGGAAACAGTGATGAAGGATAAATGGATCCATATCATTTTCTATACAACAAAATTTTAATTTTGAATGACTTTTTTAACTAGCTAAAGATTTTTAGGCA